TCACTCACAGACAGATAATTATGAACTGTAACTACAGTTGTTCAGCAAAACATGGTTATTAAATAACAGCTATTTTACACTGATTGTATCTTATTGCAAAATTTACACGCATCTTGATGTTGCATAAAAACAATATAGTATTATCCCTTACCACCTGTCTGCTGCGTTATCAATGTTCACTAGCTCTTCATTTGACCTCTATACATAAGAACTGACACAAGGGGAAGTTTTGTAGTCCAAATATGATCATTTGCTTGGATGCACCTAAGCTGCAGTGGAATTTCATTCAGAGCTTCATCAAAGCAGCCAGGCTGGATGCTGCTGAATGCCCACAAAGTCAGGGATTAGTTTTGTGAGTCTTGGGGACGGGAAATTTTGAGGACAGCACGAGTTGAGCACATTCCGTTCCGTAAAAGCCCATCAGCAGACTTTAACTCGGCTTTTCTCACCCCTCAGTCCTTGAACCTGACCATTTTCACAGGAATATCTTTGTTCTTCAAGCTACTCGACACTGAGCCACAAATCCTTCAAGTGTAAAAAGGGATGCCCAACTCAAGGGATGAACCAGTATCGTCTCCACTTAACAAGTAACTTGCCAAAGAACCAACTATCTTTTAAATTGTTTCTTTAGACACTTTGCTACGAGCAGCCTGCCACAAAAACACAATTTGTTCACATTTCTTTAGTTGAATCAGTCATGGATTGGCCTCCCCAGAGCCTGGAACTCAACTTTATTGAAGCAGTGTTGGATCATCTTGACAGAGAATGTAACAAGAGATGGCCAACATCCAAAGAAGAGTTTTGAATGTCCTTCCTTACTCACTTTATTTCCTTGCACGTTTCAATAAATTGCTGCACCTATTTCACATTTTCCCGTTAAAATGGCTAAAGATTTTTGCACCGTACTATGTTAATCTCTGGAGTCATTCTGTGTCATTTATGGGATTGAAGTAGAGGTACCCATAGTAAAACTACACTTTGGTTCAGATAACATCTTCGGCTTTAGACACTGTTTTCTTTGAACAAAAGAGGGATATAACAAGTACACATTCAGTCTTGTGTCCTAACAAGTGTTTGCTGTATAGCTGTGCTATGATGTCATGCAGAAAGGGAGTACATGCTGTTTTTTTACATCCCCTTTTGATGTAATTGAACTGTTTCCCGGCAGTACTTGGAGGAATACTAATTGGCCGCCTATAAATTCTCATCTTAATCCAATTTGGACTGAGCAGATAATTACTCAGTACAGCACCTCACTGAAGCAAGTAATTATTAAATAGATCAGTTGGACTAATTAAGTCATTAAGAGATCCCATGCTGTTTTATAAAGAGTTTACCAATTAACTGCACACAATGACAGAAGCTCCTGCAGTTCCTCATCAACACTGCATGAGTCACATATAGAAGATGAGATGTGTGCAGCTGCTTGTTTGTAGACAAGTCTCCTTCACTTTTCAGTTTGGGGCTGCTTGATCATTGAATATTTTTCTTTTCTTTTTAAAAATATTAATATTTTATATTAACGATTGATTAGCTCACTGAGTACTGATCCGAAACTTCGTGAATGCTTAAATCTAATCCAAAGAATAAAAAAAACTTTTCCAAAATTGATATTTCACAAAGGAAACTGCTGAATGTTTAAGCTCCGGGTTATGTTTTACTCATACCTTAGTTCAAAATCCATTTTCCAAACACCAGCACAGTCAGAATCAGTTTAGCACTCCATGGATTTATTAGTGTGGTCAAACTTAAAACCTTTTGAATTCATCATGTGCCTTCTTACGCATCAAATCCACCTGCCTTAGATCTTATTTTGGAACCAGTTGATACTAAAAATGTCACTACTTGCTAGATATTTCCAGTAAATCTGTTAAAGAAATTTTTTTGCAAAGAGTCAAAGTGACCGAGTAGGACTTGTTGTCATCACATTGTGTAAGTCAGCATCCAAGGACAGTCAATTTGATGGGTAACCCATCAATTTCCAAGACTATATGTCCTGTTAAAACTACATTCTTCTCCAAACTGTGGTGGTTTGAAACCATCTCACTCTAGCAGTAAATCTTTGAGATGAGATGTGCTCAGACACTCCTACACAAAGGCTCAGCATGAGATGCAGTCTGGGATCTGCGCCAGTCTCACCCTGTGGTTCACCTTGGTGAGATCTCTGTTAGCTGTTTGTGTTCGAGCGCGCAGTGCCGCTCTGTGGTGTTACATCTGTTACATCCATTTTTGCTAGATTAACTCCTCTTCAGTATGCAGTATACATAAAATCGAAGTGGAAGACAGTATCACAACTTTCTTGAAACAGAACGGAGATCAAACATCTCTCACAATCATCCCAAAACAGCAGATTATTTAACCCTCAGTGTGGCCTACTTTTTATTGCATACCACACTGGGCCTTTATTCTTGAGATTTTATGCTTCTCAAACTGACAGTGAATGACTGTATGCATGTCATTTTCAATTCAGTTCAATTCAATTTCAATTCATTTTTTAAAGATAGCACCAAATCACAACAACAGTTGCCTCAAGGCGCTTTTTGTCATGTAAATGAGATGGTTTAGGTATGAAATTATTAAAATAACCAACTCTAGGGACAGCTGTTGAACGGAGCGGGAATCCATCCATTTTCTTCCACATGTCCAGTCGAGGGTCATGGTTGGGATATAACCTATCCCAGTTGTTGAGGGCAAGAGGCAAGGTTGCACACTGATGCCCCATTTAACGTCACCTTTTTTAAATTGCTTTATTTTTAACATGCATGTCTTTGGACTATGGGTGGAAGCTGGAGTACTTGGGAGAACACGCAAACTCCAGAGTAAAAAGCTTCCACCAGCTGGTGGATTCAAACCCAAGACCATCCTGCACTGATGCGATGCTGCTAGACTCCAACACTGGAATCTAAACCATTTTTTAAAATATCTGGCTCCAACTGCATTGATTTGTTTCCAGTATTTTACTTTAAAAACATAAAAAAATCATGGTAACTACACCTTGATGGCCCGGAACGTTTTAGAAAATGCATGTAATGGCCCCACTGGCAGCCTTTCATGTAGAACGAGTTGTGGCTTTCATCTGCAATAATCCCAAATAAAGCTGGAGCTCATGCATGAAAATCCAGGCTCAGCATAATCATTCACGACTCAGGCCGCTTCAACCGCTTCATAAGGAGAGAGACACGGGGACCAGGAAACGGCGTAAATCAACTCTAGCATGCAAAGCTGACCGTTGTCTTCACATGCACTGTTAGGTGGCAGTTTCACTCGCTTGAAAGAAACAAATACATTTTCTGACAGTGATAGATGAGAAAGCGGATGCTATTCTCGAAGCAACCTGTTAGCACAAGCAGACGAATCAGCAGCCTGCCCCTTTTGGAAAGAAATTTTTACACCTCGTGAATGAACTAAATCAATCCAACATGTTAGATGAAGTAATGAGGTGAGAAGGCCTAATTTTCTCCACTTTCTCCCAACTGTTTTTTTAAGTATTTATTTTTTAATTAAGGCTTGATATGAGTAGGGTTGTATCAGAACAAAGAGTTCTGATATTGTCTTGAGTCGAGAACCAAACCCCTCCAACACACTTACCACTGGTGTTTAAATAAGAGCATTAGTGATGTAAACACCATCCTACCTCCATCTGGTTCACTGTGTTTGGGAGACAGGCTTTATAGGGAAAATATAAGATGCTACTGGTAATGATTTTCCTTTAAAGGCAGCAAATTAGACAGTGAGAAAGTAATTTAGTGCATTTAGTGCATCCATCTCTTGATGGACTACTTCTTTCCTTTACATCTTTCGAGAACACTGTTAAATGGGCCAAAGGCTAAGTATTAAGATAATCTAAGCTATAGTAGACACTGTGGTCTTTTTTATTATTTCAGAGGGTGTTACAGGAGGTAATCTGTTCTGCTAATACCACTGCTGAAAACAAATAAAATCCAAGGCACGTGGGAAAGCTTTAAATCTCTGATATTGCATTTGTTATATATCGAAACCATGAGACAAGCTCTTTTTCATTGTGCATTCATTTCCCTTGGACTAAACATGACTAAACAAATTTCATGCACTTATACAGTAATATGTAAAAGTCTTTGACCAACCCACATCTGTAACCTGGCTAGATGGATAGATGGAAATACAGTATAGTAGGAAAGAGCAGAGTTTGTACAATTCTAATGAGCATGAAAATCAATATTTGGTGTGACTCTTAGTCTTCAACACAGACTGAACTCTCTTATGCAAACATTTCTTTTAAGGAGTCTTCAGGAATAGTTCTCCAGGCATCTTGAATGACATTCAAAACTCATCTTTGGTTGTTGGCTGCTATTTGTTCCATTCTTTCTAAAAATGATCCCACACTGCTTCAATAATGTTGGACTCCGGGTTCTGGGGAGGCCAATCCATGAAGGAGAGTAATCCATTGTGTGTTTTTCTATCCAGGTATGCTTTTACTGTATCTGCAGTGTTTTTTTGGGATCATCATGCTCACAAATGAAGCTGCTGCCAATCAAACGCTTTCCAGAGGGTAATGCATAGTAGATCAAAATCTGGTGGTGCATTCAGAATTCCAGCAGTTTTAACAAGACCTCCAGCATCACTACCTGAAATGCAGCCCAAGACCTGCCTGTAGACACTCACTGTTGTACCTCTATCCTGACCTCCTCCATACATATTGATAACAACTGCTCAAACCAACTGAACCGAAAATTTTAATTTTGGATTAATCATTCCAGAAGACCTGTTTGGCACACAACGGCCTTTTCTTCATGTTTCCCTTCCTTAAGAGTAGCTTCTTGACAGCCACCCTTCCACTGAGACTATTTCTGATGGACAGTAGATGCAAAGGGCTAAGGGCCAGATTCATCTCTTAGGTTTTGTGTCAGATCTTTGCTAGATTTGTTTTCCTATTTCTTAAGGACATGACTTTCAGAGACTGTTCATCAGCTGCTGATAATTTTTAGACCTAAGACTTCTTTTGTCCTTCACTTGTCCAGTGTCCTAATTTTTTAAGAACACACTCCACACAATGCAGAGACATGCCAAGTTTTAGCTCTTTGGGAATCACCTTGTGGGCAAGGTACAAGGAGTTGGACAAAAAACACGTGAAAAAATCCAATGTCTAAAGAAAAACATCTGCACAGTACTGTACTATAGATGCAAACCCGAAGTCAGTGTCTTGTAAAGAAAAGGTTGCCTTCAATTATAGTCAATTATAACTGTGATTCCAGCATAAAAAAGGGGTCATAGCAAGACGCACATAATCATGTCAATGGGCGCTCACAGTGATCTACATGAGTTATAATTTAGTGTTCATCCGCGAAAACAAAGCATGTTTTTGTTTCAGACTGACAAGGGCAACTCACATGATTACTATTAGAGCAAAAGGCAAAGCTCCAGAGACTAAGCTCAGAAAGGAGTGTAATTTGACAATCATTACACCGAATAAACCATTATATCCATGATATTCTACAAACACAAATGAGCATACAGCGCTCAGTCTCTATAATATTAAGGCATCACTTTGAAAACAACAACAACAAAACTTACAAGGTAGAAACAAATTTACTAACTGTGATTGTCACTGAAAATGTCCTAAAGAGGTCTGAATGTGGTGAAAATATATATATAAACATTTAATCTGTGCGTGATAAAGTATGGCAGAAAGTAGATGGTGATACTTACGGTAATCAGTACTAATATGGTTTAAAAAACAACAGAAGCATGCCTAACACTGCTTTTGCACTGATTCAAAAACTGCATGTACTCTGTTTCAAGTCGTGGAAGGCTAAAAGTATGAAATCTGCTCCAGGGCTGAGTTTAGTGGCAAAAACACCACACTTACTAAAACTCTTCCTCATCTCTTAAATCTCTCTCTTTGATTTCAGTGAGCATAAAAATGGGTGTGATGTGGTTTTATCTCTGAAAACAGAAAAGATCTGATCATTATCTAATCACTGCGGCTGGCCGGCTGCACTCAAGAGAAGTAAGTATATAAAGGGTCTTTTGTATTCAGGATTTTTTTCTTCTTCCGTCGTTACCACTAGCAGAGCGAGAATCGGCGAGAGTTAATGTTCATCTTGGTGACTCCGATCAGTCTCAGCGGGGCAGAGAGGCCGAGGCCCGGGGTGACCGGGCATTCACACAACAGGTCCGACAGCTCATCCCGTTCCTCGAGGCCAAAGGTGGCGTCGTTGAGCATTCGGCGATGCAGATGGCACGTCTGTTCAATCTTCAGCTTGTTGATGTCACTCCGAAGTCGCATGAGCTGCCTCGCCAGCTGCTGGTCCTGCAAGCGCATATCTGTCTGCAAAAGAGAAGACAAAGGTGTCGGGATGGAAGATGAATTTGTTCATTTTATACGAAGCCGAATGGACACGTCAAAGTGTCATTTTCTAAAAGATTGAAAGCTAAAACTAATCTATTCTAAGCTTAATTATTCTTTTCATTTATGGAGGACTCAATCACACCAACATACTGTGTATAGTCCACCTGTGGAGCTTGACCAAAGGTGCTTCTGTGAGGTCCTTTTTTGTCAAAAGAAGACTCACGGTGGGATACCGTGGTGCTCTTCTTTGTTTGTGTCCAAACATCTACACAAAGATGACAATCATCTTTATTGTTTGTAGCCACGTACTGTGAGTCTGCCTTTTATCAGTGCTTCTTTGTGCGCACAGTCCAAGCATATGAGCTATGGCTGAATGTGCAGAGTAATTGAGCAGAGTAAAAATGATTACAGTTGCAGAAATTGCTCGCAACAAATGCCAGATTCTGCTGCCTGGGGTCACAATCAATCTCACTCACCAATAAGAATGAATGGGATTCTTCTGCCTGGTGATTAAACATCGCGTGCACTGTTAAACTCTAATTAGCTAAGAAGCGTGAACTTTTCTACTTGAACTTTGAGTGTGGAACAATGCCTCCTAAATTACACAACCAAAAGAAAAATATAAGGAAAAATAAATCAATTGCAGTCATAATCATACAATTGAATTAATCCAAGTATAGTATAAGACTCTATCCTAACTGTACTGTACTAATTACAGGACAACAGAAAGCAGTAGGTACAAGGGAACAAGAACTATTCCCCCTTTATATGTAATCACGAGGACAAAGGGGAAGCATGCTGTATTTTCTGTTTTGTATAGGAATGAAAGTTCTGCACATCTTGGGACTGCTATGCTGATCAAACATGGTCACAAAGGGAGAATAATTACTACAATTCACACTACACTAATTTGTGGAATAAAATATTACTAGAACAAAAATGGTCTGTATTTGTATAGCGCTTTACTTAGTCCCTAAGGACCCCAAAGCGCTTTACACATTCAGTCATCTACCCATTCACACACTGGTGATGGCAAGCTACATTGTAGCCACAGCCACCCTGGGGCGCACTGACAGAGGCAAGGCTGCCGAACACTGGCGCCACCAGGCCCTCTGACCACCACCAGTAGGCAACAGGTGAAGTGTCTTGCCCAAGGACACAACGACCGAGCCTGTCCAAGCCGGGGCTTGAACCGGCAACCTTCCAATTACAAGGCAAACTCCCAACTCTTTGAATTAAATCAAGCAATAAGGGTGTGATTGAAGTGCAAGCTTTCATTCAATGGCTTTAACAAAAAATAAATAAATTTCAAATTAAAATTAATTTGACAATTAAATGCCCAGCATCTTCATGGTCAGGTGATTTTGACTGCCGAAGCAGACACAATATCTGAAGTTGATTCAGTGTGTTCTGTTTGTATTTTATAGCTTTTGATTGCAACATGACGTCTGAAGAAATGTCAGGCCAAGTCAGGGCTGCGTGATGGCAGAATTATTTCCATGGTAGAGGTCTATAATCAAGACACAACTTCATAAATGGAAATACAGATGCAACAAGAAGGTCAGATTAGACTTTGCTCATGGCGTAAAGCAGACTACAGCAGAATATAGATGGAAGCATTGCTATGGCATGGTTCATGGGCATGGTCCATACATGCCCATATTGCTAATGTGTCTACTGATAGAAAGAGCAGAATGCATCGTGAAGTGTACAGGGCTACACTCTCTGCTCAGATTCAGCCAAATGCTTTCAGGCAATTACTGACTGCGAAGGATTTTCAACTAAGCAGCCTGAACTTATCAAAAGACCCATGTGTTCCTCTTTTGAACACGTGTAGCCAATATTAAATCCCTCATTATGGCCATGTTCCCTGTTTCCTTAATTCCTTTTATGAAGTGTTAGTACAAAAACATGCTGCAAGCTGATTACACTGTAACCCAAAACATTTCTGAAAATCTATGAGAAATTAGAACAAAATAAAGATTAGATGGTGGTGATAATTTAGACAGTGCCTCACCAGTTCTCTTCTGAGCCAGGTTAGAGCTTCATCAATGTTTTTAAATCCCTTAAGTCCACCTGATGGCAACTTGGGCTGACTCACATCTGGGTCCACTGAAGTCTCCTTGTGTTTAACTACTTTCCCTTTAGTCCCAGTTTCTGAGTCTCTGAAGCGATCTGCCTCAAGCCGGGCTTGCCACTCCAGGTAGGAGGGTCTCCTGGTCTCCAGTCTTAGTTTCTCTGTTAAGGCCTTCAAAGTCATCAGATGGTCATCTGTAGGCAAATCTACACCTTCCCCACAGTCTGCCTCGTCCTGGACATTTGTCCTGTTAACCACGATCTGTGGAGCTGAGTGCGAATTCATTTTTAACCTGTTAAATACAAAAACAAAACAAAAAAAGCTATCTGGCCTCTTTCGTCGCTATAAGGCTATCAGGCTTCCATTCTGTCTGTCCAGCATTCACTTTTCTGCCCTTTATATTCTTCAGGAGACCCAGTCTTCAGTCTTTAGTGGAATCAGATGCTTCAAATGCAGAATATCTGTAGATCTGTAGAAGAAAAAAGACACAGGTTATGAAACATTTGCTGAGAATAACAAAGGACAAACCTAATGTGCCAACATAGAGAAAAAAATTAGATTACACTCTAGAAAGACCTTCATTGTATTTCTATAAACTGATCTGGATGAAGCATGTGGCCTCTCTAATATCAGAAATTAGGGGACAGCACACAGAGGGGGATAAAACACCTCCTGGATTTTCATTTAACAGAAACAAACTGTTTCCATAGCAACAACAGAGGTGCTATAAATGAATCAGCAATTTCCGACCTCCTGTCCACGAGGCTTATTGCCTCAATAAACCCAAAGCCACAATGAATGTGAATGTGCTTTTTAAAAAAATAAAATAAAAACCTTCTCAGGACCTGTTGAGTTGGAATGCAAGACCAGTTACAACTGGTAAAAGGGGCAGCAATAGCAAAAGCACTCTTACTGCTCAGTGTCTTCCTACTGAGTCCATAAGATCTCAATAAGTGGTTGGGGTGTGCTGTTATTCTATAATAGCAGCAGTGAAGTCCCTGCCCCTGGATCTAATGATACAGCCGGCTTGGCTGCTTTGCAATGGAAAATAGACTGTGATGAGCAGCTGACTTTTTAGTAGCCTGGGAATGGATGCTGTCTTCGTTATCTGCATGAATCAGTGCATCGCTGAAGTCCGCACTGTGTAGAGAGAGCATTAAAGCTGGAGGCAGGCATTTTTAACTTTGTAAGGACCGTTCGTGTACAGTGAGGAACTGGTTAGATTGTGAATAGGGACTGCTTATCCAGAACACTTAGAAAGGATGTGGAAAAGTGTGTCTGTATCACATAATGAGCTGTGATCACAATTATAAAGAAATAGAGAGGTTTTTGTCGTTGTTTTTTTTAAAACCCCTCTTTACTGGCTGATCTGGTGAAGCCAGTCACTTTTTTGAATAGGCCAGCAGGAACTCTGCCTCTCTAGGAAGCCAAGTTTTACATCCTGAATATCAAATTCACCCAGGGCATATAAAAAACACTGTCAAATGTTAGATGTCAGGGAGGGGGTGGCAGTGGGGGAAGTCCAGCTGTCCCTATCCAAATGTCCTAAGTGAATCAGCACACATCACCCATACATTCCTCTGGTTTAAACTCCAGTTGCCACACTAATAAAATATATTTTGTGGTGTTGGGACTTCTATGAGATGCCAAAACCTGGTCTGGCTGAGCAGCTTAGGAAGTCTGGCTCTCCTATCTGGAACATGAGGTCATGTCTACGTAAGAAACACAACCACAGAGTAACTAAATGAAGCTTTAGCGTATAGTCCTCCAATCTATAATAGAACCTGACCCTGAGTAATTTGCAGGGATTTCAATTTCATCTTTGATACTGAGCATAACCGAAAGAAATTATCTCCAGGTTCGTGTTAGTAGTGTAAACACTGCTGCAGCGTATTGATTTTTTCCCCCGTGTTGTGGCAACAGAAGCCCAATAAAGCAGTCTGTAGTTCAAAGTGAACCAATCTTTGCATTTGTAACCCTAAAGTAGACATCGAAGCTCTACAGTTCTGACTGTATTCAGAAAAGAAGCGATTAACTTGATCATAACGCACAATGGAAGTGACAAAGACACTCTTGAGAGTTACAACATTTGAAATATATAGATCCATATAACAGTAATAGTAATAATAAAGGTAAAACAGTACTTGTTATTATATAACTTGAAGTCGTATCTGAAATGGAGAGAACCATTATGATTGTAAGTGCCATTTAGTTCTGACAGTGAAAGCGGGCATGTAATAAAAAAGTGTTTTTAAAATTAATTATTATTTTTTTATTTATGAGAAAATAACATACTGATAGTTCTCACAGCATAAAAGAAACAATTGTGATTACTATTGCGCTCACTGGGGAACAAACACCATCTGTAAAGATAACATTTTTCCTTCTAAATCCCCTGGAACATCTTGCACGATGATTTATTTTGCATGTGATTCATTTCAGCCTATTCCTGCTATTCTGGCAGCGTGCTGCAAGGTGATACCCTGAGGGGGGGGATCACCTGAAAACTCGGCTACGCACGTAGACTACGACTTCGTTTACCTTTCAGGAACCTCCCAGCAGCGGTCCAACTTAGCACGCTGAATCCTGGCAGCCACATCGGCGCAGACCATCACCGCCAGTCTCTCGCTCCCTGATAAGATCCCCTCTATGGCTCTGCGGTGCACTTATTTTTGAGCAGGGAGCTACCGGAGGAGGGGCGGGAAGGTTGCGTCAGGTTGTGGTTGCTTGGAGACGTCCAAGGAATCCGACTTCCCGCTAGATGAATATTACTGCAAGTGCGCCACAGTCTGATGACCAGGAGACAGCGTCACTATTGTACAAACCTTTAATTCATTCAACAATTTTAAACATTAGACGAAATGTAACTGGTTACATGTTTCATATTAAATAAGCTTCACAGAATAAATACAAAGAGTTTCACAAGTAAATAATAGGTATCAACTTTAGACTGAGGGCGGAGACAGCTTTGTGTCACATTTAAAAAGTGCTGTCTGAATGTAGCTCGAGTGTAATAACAAATGATTATTAAAATAAGAGCATTTTGTGTCTTCATTTCATTTCAATAAAGCCATCAGATTGCTTACTACAGGGCTGATTGCCTTTTTGAAAGTAAAGCGCTCCCATCACAAGACATTTAGTGCAGAAAGGAAAAGAGAGAAGGATCTGGCAACATTAGGCTGATGTTACATTTTCTGGTGCAGGGCATGGACTAAGCTGGTATTGGTGGGTTTAATACAGATCATTATTTACACAATCTTGTAGATTAGTGAACATAATGTAAAAAACAAAAAAACAACCAATTAAACAAAAATGGTAATGAGAACTGCTGTGGCTCTAGGGTTAGATGGAGGCTGGTGATTTACTGTGGCAACCCCTAAATGGGTTGGGCGAAAGGAAGACCTGGGACTTACATGTGCTTAGAGTGCTGGTAAGATTACATATAAAATTGAAAACTCGTTTATCATACAGTAACAGTCAGATGTTGTACAGGCGATCTACACATGGTGTGATTGTCTTGTCATTTAGGGGTACATTTTTATGTCAAAATATCTGCAAAAGAATTAAAGGAGTGGGAAACATATTTTGGCACCACTGGAGAACACATCCCTTATGGCCTTCAAGCGGATTTTAATTCAAGTGATCTGAAAGGAAGAGACTCCTGCATCTCCACTGGTATTATTTAAAAATAAATCTAGTTGATGACTGAAAAAACTGGCCAATGACAGATCTAATGGTTTAGAAAGTGTAGAAAGTGATGATACAATGCCTTGAGCAGAGGGCATTCACCTGATACAGTAGAGTTTAAATCCAGTGTGAAGCCATCTGGTAGGAGGTGTTTTGAACAGAGAAGGGGGAACTGTAGGAAGGGTGCTATTATGTACCATGCATTGTAATTTCTTCCTCCCTACTGCAGCCCTTTCAGATTATGGGAAAATCTATGATTACAAACTATCTGACAAAGACAAAAAATATCCCAAACTATACAAAACCCAGCAAAGCACTAAAATATCTAAATGGAGTAAGAGCTTCAGTCATAGTCTGTCAGAAAAGCTACTCTTTAATTTTCACAGGTGCTACAAATAAAAATCACTGTTGTGAGAGTTAAGCTGGTTTTAAAGGAACGTCTAAGAAAAACAATGTAACAAACATACAAATTGCACATTAACCCATTGATCCTTTTTCTTAACTGCTTGTCCACCTTAGGGGTGTTTTGAGTGGCTGATCCAACTGGACAGAGGCAGTTAAAAAGGACTGATGGATGAAACAAATCAGTTTCTGCAAGTTTCTTCTTATTTTGATGTTCTCATATTTTTAATGCTGGGTTGTTCTTATATTTCATAAATAACCTCTCAGATTTGATGGTTTGCCATCAAAGACCCAGACTACTTTCAATCTAAATTAATTTCATAATGTGAGTTCCTCAATCTCGTCTTCGAAGGAGGTGATGGCACGGATGGCAGGTCTGCTATCTGCAACATGGAGGGTGCTAAAGGAGGCTGCTGGAGCAGTGGGAGATCCTGAGTTGAAGTTGAGCAGTCCATCCCTTCTTGAACGCACTCCATTAGTTGTTGGAGGACTATTAAGAAGCTCCAGTTTATTGAAGGTATTCGCGCCATCACCAACAGCTGTGGCTTGGGGACCAAACAGCTGGTGCATTAGACTTGACTTCCTGTCCTTTCCCTGAACTTTTTCTGTCTCCCTCTCCTCTGCCGCACTGATATTAAACACCCCTATTGCTTCTAACGCAGATTCCTTGTCCTCTTTGGGTGGAGGTGGAGGGAAGCCAGAGGAACCACGGAAAGTTGAATGTACAAATGAAGGTGCGTAACCTCCAAATGCCAAGTCATCGCTGGAGATTTGAGACCGGAGCGCTCTCCTCCCTATCCCTGCTGTAACTGCTCCACCCTCTGTGCCTAGTCTCCTCCTTCCACCTTCTTTGCTCCCAGGACGCAAACCATCTGGCTCCTCTGAATTAGTTAGGCTGAAAATCGAAGAGTTATGGTTCCTTTGCTCAGGAGGGCGTGGAGAAGAATGTTCACCGAGACCCTTATTGGACTCAGAAGGACTCGAGGCAAACAAGGAATCCTGGGCCCCCTGTTTCTGACTGTCTATTTCCCGCATCTTTGCCAGCAGCTGCTCTTTTTTGCGCCGCGCTTCTTCTGATGCTTGCTGACAGGCCAGCGCCTCCTGATTCCATCTCTCCACCTCTCCCTGGACATGACCGTGCTTCTTGTAGTTATCATCCCCATTCTGGTTGAACAGGGAACTCGTCCACTTTTGGCCCTCTTCATCCTTTTCTTTCTCTGAGTCTGTTGGGATAGCGTTCCTCAGATTAAAGTACAAACAATTCTGCTTCGACAAGCTTTTTATAAGTGAAGTATATGCTCTACAACTACTCTTAACTAATCTTTGGCTTACCGTTTCTTAAAAGCTTTGCCTTAACTTCAAGCGCTTTCTGTTCCTGATCAAGGTACTTTTTGGCCTCTTTCTCTTCCTTCGCCAACTCCTTCTCCTCATGTCTTTCTCTACTCTTTTGTTGCCAGATTGGTCCCCTGTCTTCTGCCTCTGCTTGATTGACCGCTCTGTTAAGCTCCTGATAGCAGAAATTTGAAAAGTGATGAATGACGACAATTAGTGGTAAAAGATGTGGACAAAGTAAGTACAAGGAAAGAGTAGACACAACACCTTAAGTGATAAATATTCATCAGGTGGATGTTCCCTGTACTCGCTGGCATCTGTGATAGCAGGGGGAGGTGTGGGAAAATCCAGACTCAGCATCCTGCCTTCAGTCTGTATCGCCTTAGAGCTGCTCCTGCTGGGAACTATGTGTGGGAAAAGTATAAAATCACTTTTACTCAACATATTTCTGACCATCCCATTACACAAAGCACTATCATTACTTATAAGCAATCCTGATTGCTTTTTAGCCACCATGCATATTTATTAGTATGGATTCAGACACAGCCAATGAAGTTACAGCAAAAACATGTATCAAATATCAATGTGGGAAAAAATTCAGGCTTTCCAAAGGATTCTATCCAACACAAAAAGTGAATTTTGTGACTCATGATACCATCTGGCATCCACTTTTTGATATAAAGTCAAATGAACTACACAATAAGCCTCAGCAAGTTAATTGTTACCTTTGTGCTTTGTGTCACTTTCAGTCTCTTTTTTTTGTGAGGGTTTCACCATGCGATTGGCATAAATATTCTTCGCATCGAGTTCTCTCTCCTTTTCCTGAACATTTTAAGAAAAAATAAAAAAACAACAACAAAAAATTTTGTTTTACACAATGAGCAATCTGCTTTTGATGCACAGTCCTGCTTTCGATGGCAGCGGCTACTTTTTAAGGTTATTTTTTGTACATGTACCTTGAGTTTATTGTTCAGTCGTTCAAGTTCCTCCTGGAGAGCCCTGATCTCTTCCTGGGTACTAAGTGTCTTCTTCTTCTCTGCGACAAGCTGTCTCTGATAACTGCTATTTCTTAGCTCCATGCTACGCTCCACCTCCTTCAAACACAAACACTCATTGAAAGTTGCTGCATTGAAAGGGAACCCATGGTTTAGGATAAAAACAATAAATGAGAATTACAATTTTGAGTGTTCACTGACAAGAGATTGCACATAAATGTGCATCAGTTTGTTATATTGTAAACCAGAAACCCAACATTCAACATGTTCCAGGTTAATCATTCATGCTACAAAGCAGTATGTGGGGCTCTAGAAATCAGGGTTAATAAGACTTAATTTCAGGTCAATAAGTATTTAATCGGAATCCAGAAGATCCAGAAGAAGGTTAGATCTTTTATTCCACTGTCTATTTACCTTAAGCTTACGTTCAGCTTCTTGGGCCCGCAACTTCTCTTCCTCTAGCCTGCGGCTGAGCTCCTCTCTGGCTCCTAAATCCCGCTGCTCGACCAGCTTCTTCAGCCGTGAAATGGTAGCTTGACCCCTCTGAAACCGCTCCTCGGTGTCCCTCAGCTGCCGCTCAGCTTTCCGTTCCCGTTCTTGGGTGCGCCTGAGACGTTCACGCAGCACGTGGATCTCGTTGGAGTGCCGGGATAAGAGCTGGGAGATTTCGCTTTCTGTATCATCGTACCGCTGCAGGGCTTTCTCTTGACGCACCTGAAGCTGAAGCATGGCAAAGGTTGCATTGAGAGTGGTGAAGAAGAAGGAGAATTGTAATTGATTTTCCTGTAAAAAAGTCTGTTTCTTTTTTACTACAAACATGAATAAAAGCCATAAAATTATTTAAGAACACTCTTCCTTCAAAGCATTTAAACCAAATATTGAAACAGGCCTACCTGTCGAAGAATTCGATTTTCTTTCTGCAGTTCGTCCGTGCGCTGCTGCAGCTCAGAAAGAGCATTGCGCAATTCATTGATTTTTAGGAGGCGGGCCGAGAGCATCCGCTTGGTCACCAGGTCCAGGTCTTTAGGTGGTGTGGACTCCTTGCTGTGAGAACGCACCCCCCTTTGATACTGCTGGGTCAGGGGGTGACCACCTGGTCGCTGTGGGCGAGACAAGCCCCGGCGCCCCAAACCACCTGCAAAGCAGAGAAAGACATATCATGTAAAATCTAAAAACATGATGACAAATGCTCCTATGAAAAGATTTTTTTTAAGTCAATCAGGCAGTCAGAATGTGCC